TTTTCTCCATGCAATTGGGGTGCATGGGGGAATTGTGTAAAACCCCGGGTGTGCTTCAGAGACACTGAGGGATCCTCGTGAGGGCAGTAGCACTCCAGGTTGCTATTCTTTTACTATGTGGTGGCACAATTGACTAAGGCGCATCTAGGATTATCCTGGGCTAGGTTCGAACCCTGATCATGGCCCTTGTGGATTTGTTCATTTGATATATCACGCTACTGTGATTTCTGTGTGTATTGAAGTAATGCCTTAGAGGTAGAACATCTGGTTGACAGAGCTCGAGTGCATGGGGGGAATTGTGCAAAACTCCGGTTTGTGTCTCGGAGAGGCTGCGGGATCCTCGTGAGGGCAGTAGCACTCCAGGTTGTAATTCTTTTACCATGTTGTGGCACAGTTGACTAAGGTGCATCTGGGATCATCCTGAACATAGGTTCAAACCCTCATCACAGCCCTTGTGGATTTGTTCATTTAGTCTAATTTTTTGTCACATACTTTACCTCTTTTATGAACTGGAGTTATATGATAGAAAAACACTTATAACTTTAATCAAATAAATTATTCATATTAAAAAACTAGCGTTGAATGTAATAAAATGCCATTTTCTGGGTGAGACCCGGAGGTTCCCCCGGAGCTATACCGGGCTGATGTGTATATATTAGACTGTGGCAATAGTCAATCGATTGAGTTCTAAGTCTACCGGGGACCAGCGCCAGAATCTGGTCCCCTCAAGAAAGGCACAAGGAGCAATGGACCCATGTAATTGGAAGCAGTCTATGTCTGCCATCTACCACGTCAGGCACCCAGAAAGGTAGGAATTCCAAAACAAACTACAGCTGGTTAACAATTACCAAACTAGCAAGATAGAGGAAACGACGCGAAACGTGCACGAATCGTGGAACCAGGCGAGAGCAAACATCGGAAAGGAACCACGAAAGAGCCGACAACCCTTACGAGAGCTCGACCGACCCTCAGACTGATCACTGTGCTGATCAGATGCTGACGGCTCTGCAGGAGGGGCCGAGGGGCTGTCCCCAAATCTGGCCCAACTGGCTTACGACACCCTGGCATGACTCTTCCGGGGGCAGGACTACCACAACCCCTCCCCCTCCCCCCTGGAGAAACAACGAGTCTGAGATAGGCCGGCAAAAAGTAAGATAGGCCTGCAGAAAATGCACCACCCCAGACTCTGCAAACAGCAACGGACAAAATGGGGACGGAAATCTAGGAGCCAGGGTCCAAGCAAATGCTAAAACATGGACGAGCACCACATGCCAGTACACGAGGCGTGAAGCAAATAACATAGACATCGCTTCCTTCAGAATTGGCGTAAACAACTTCAACAAGGCAGCTGACGCCTGAGCCACCGAAGCAAGTGCACCAAACACAGGCCCGGAACCTAGCTCCCCCACATTCTCCTCGAGCCAGTCCGAAAACAGCTCCACCAGGAAAAAGAAGCGCAAGACTGAAGGCAAATGCCCACGGGTGTGCAAATCCTCTGCTACCATGAATGCCAAAAAGGAGGAAACCAACATGTGAAACTGAACCTGACTGATATCACAAGGAAGCACAGGGGCAAACAAGCATGCATTGAGGTGCTCAAACTCACCCCCCCCCCAAGTAAACCTGAATAACAGTAGTCAACTCTCGCCACTCAAGCGTGCGGATCCGACAAAATGCATGCCATGCCCCCAATGAAAAGAAAGGGCAGTCTGCCAGTCAGGAAGACTCTAGCACCTCGTAACACACCCAGTAAGGAAAAGAGGAGCCAAACTCAAAAGAAGGATCCATTATAGAGGCGTAATTCGGGTCTCGCAGGAGGTACGCCGCAAGGGTCTCCCACACCTCCCTCGGCAGGATGCACGAAAACCTCTGGAAGGAGGGAACTGAGGAACCCAAGGGAACCCGGGAGAAGTTGAACTCATATCAAACTCGTACAGAGAGAGGGTTTAGGAAAACCCCTCCCCCTGTAACAAGAAGCCCGATGCTGAGGGTACCAACACCCAAGTGGGGTCAAACAGATCTCAAGCCCCAAATGTCAACTCCTCCCCAGCCCCGGAAACCTCCATGTCAGGACCCGGGGCCGAACTGCCCTCCAAACCCTCTGTCTCTGGAGAAAAGGCAGAGTCCACCGGAAAAGCGGGGATGAAGGGGGGCCCACTGGCATGATCCAAAAGCCCCGGCAGGAGGAACAGGTTCGAATGCTTCCGCCGCTGAACCAGAAGGGGCAGTCCCTGAAGCGCTCGAGTCTCACCACCAAGAAAAACCCTGCCCCAACTCCAAAACCCTCAGATGTTTGGAAGCCAGGAGCAGGAAGAAAGAGGGAGGAGGATAAACCACAGCAGGGGAAGGACAAGGGGGCGTGGACGAAACCAAAGTCGAAGCGACTAACACCACCAAGATTGGGTCCCTATAACCAAGGCAGGGTAGCCGCGGTGCATTCGGAAAGGGAGCCAACCTAGTATGTTGCAGCAACCTAAACTGTGCATGCAATGCTGAAACTGCCTGCACCCAAATATCAACATCAGTGGTCTGGGTGAATTAGAGTAGAAGAAAGGAACACCACTCGCAGGATTCCAGGTCAAAGATGTCATTCACCCAACAGGCAGCATGGTGGAGGCAAAGATGGTGTGCATCACCCTGAGACAAGGGGACAGAGCAACCTTCAAACTCGCACGAAGTGAGGTGGAACTCAGAGGTCTCCTCCATTGGATCAATGAGCCCCACTGGGGGTTTCCAGAGCCTTTAGGCTGACTGCTAAGGGAAGCCCAGGCAAGTTACTGCTAATTGGTTATCCCAGAGCTACCAAGCAAAACAAACTAAAAGCTGAACCCCCTGTGACATGTACAAGTACGGGGACCTAGTGGAGGGCCACCAAAATCATACAAGTGATCCTACAGCTACACCAGGCAGACCCCCACCAGTCAAAACAAAACAAAACAAAAAGAAACCCGCCAAAGCACAATGTCTCCAGGGGAACAGAACTGGTCGCTTTGCATATATCAGACAGCGGCACCTTGCACCCCAGCCAGCAACGATACTACTTCCTACCCAAGGTCAAACAGGAGTAAGAACCACCCCAGCTGAACCCAAGGGCGGGCAATCACTGAGCAGCAACAAAACCACGCAAAGGTAGACTCCCGAACGGTTCATGGAAGGTAACCCTAAACCACACGACCAGTACTTACAGGGCACCTAGGGAAGGTGGCCGTAGGTGCATGCAGCCCCAGTACTCTTGTGTTACTTCTGGCTTGCACAAAGGACATGTATACGGAAAATAAAAAGGAAATGTGTGAAACATTAAACGAAATGTTCCAAAGTGTGTTTGTACAAAATGAGATCTTCAGGGAACCAGACACAATAAGAATTCCAGAGAACAACCTAGAGCACAACCTAGAGCACATAGAGGTGTCTAGAGACGAAGTGAAACAAATGCTCTTGGAGCTAAGTAAGAACAAAGTAGTTGGCCCAGATGGAGTTTCACCATGGGTTCTGAGAGAATGTGCACCTGAGCTCAGCATTCCACTTCAGCTGATTTTTCAGACATCCCTGTGTACAGGAGTCGTAGCAGTTGTGTTAAAAAAGGCTAACATAGTTCCAATCTACAAAAGTGGCAGCAGGGAAGACCCCTCAATTATAGACTTGTATCATTGACAAGTGTAATAGTCAAAATATTGAAAAAAAATAATCAAAACTAAATAGGTAGAATACCTGGAGAAAAACAATATAATATCAGACAGACAGTATGGTTTTCGATCTGGAAGATCCTGTATATTGAATTTCCTCAGTTTCTATGATCGAGCCACAGAGATTTTACAGGAAAGAGATGGTTGGGTTGACTGCATTTATCTGGACCTAAAAAAGGCTTTCGACAGAGTTCCGCATAAAGAACGTTGTGCGAGGAGTCTATGCTTCGCTTTCTAACTTCAGAATTGCTTTTAAATACATGGATGGTGAAATACTAAAGAAATTGTTCATGACTTTTGTTAAGCCAAAGTTAGAATATGCAGCAGTTGTGTGGTGCCCATATCTTAAGAAGCACATCAACAAACTAGAAAAAGTACAAAGACATGCTACTAAGTGGCTCCCAGAACTGAAGGGCAAGAGCTATGAGAAGAGGTTAGAGGCATTAAATATGCCAAAACTAGAAGACGGAAGAAAAAGAGGTGATATGATCACTAAGTACAAAATAATAACAGGAATTTATAAAATTGATAGGGAATATTTTCTGAGACCTGGAACTTCAAGAACAAGAGGTCATAGATTTAAACTAACTAAACACAGATGCCGAAGAAAATTCACTTTCGCAAACAGAGTGGTAGACGGTTGGAACAAGTTAGGGGAGAAGGTGGTGGAGGCCAAGACCGTCAGTAGTTTCAAAGCGTTATATGACAAAGAGTGCTGGGAAGACGGGACACCACGAGTGTAGCTCTCATCCTGTAACTACACTTAGGTAATTACCACCAACACATAAGAACAACACCACTATGCAGCACAGCACAAAGAGTGGAGCCAGAGTCGATCAACTGCTCCCCAACACAACAGCCTCTTGAACTGAGGTTCGGTAGCCAGTGCGTGAGGTCTTGGACCCCCTCTTCCCCCTCCTAGGGACGGGGGAGTTGCGCAGACAGTGGTACGGCGGCTGGGGTAACATCATGCTTGTTTACTTGTTTTCGATTGGGGAGTTTGGTTTGCTAGTTTGGCTTTCAGTTTACAGTTTTTAACCAGCTGTAGTTTTTGAAATTCCTACCTTTCTGGGTGCCTGACCTGGTAGATGGTAGACATAGACTACTTCCAATTACACAGGGGTATGTCTAAGACATTGCTCCTTGTGCCTCTCTTGAGGGGGCCAGACTCAGGTGCTGGTCCCCGGTAGGCTTAGAACTCCATCGATTAACTGTTGCCACAGTCTAAGATATACACATCAGCCAGGTATAACCCCAGGGAGCCAAAAGGGCTCTCCACAGAAAACAAGAAAATAGTTTGTTAATTGGTCTATTTACCCATATAAGTTGAGTAATAAACAGCAGGATTGGGGATAGGACTAATAACACAAAATCCATGCTCCTTATCACCGTAAACATCTGCATCTGCGATGACGGCTGCTATGACAGCGACAACAGGAAAACCTGAAAGAAAAACAAAAGCTATTATAGAAGACAATGCTATCCTATGTGATGAGGAGTTAAGTATAAACAAAGGCAGTTTATCTAGAACCCATAAAGTAATGGAGAATGAAAAAGCAGTGACCAGGGACACACACCAGGTGAATGACTGAGGCTTACTGCTGGCTGGGTGCTGGGCTCCCATCCGGTGGTGGGAGGATGTAACTAGTGGTAGTAACTAGTGGTTTAGAAAGTTAAAATAGTTTTCATTGTTTTTCAAGTTTCCTATATTTCTTTTGTTTATTATTTTGTATATTTTTTCTTTGCAGGTCGTGATTTTACAGCACTTTAGTTTCTGATGTTTTTTTTCTCTTGAATTGATCTAGTATCTATAGACTTACTGTGCCTTTGAGTGAACCAGGATTTGGTCCTGGTCCGCAGCAGGCCAATATAACTCACAAAGCCCTAGTGGGAGGGGCCAGGCCACAAGATAGAATCTACAATATCAGAAAAACTCCTAAAGGACAACAATAAACAAAAATAAGTTACGTTCACACTTCCTAGGCAAAGTTAATCCCAACCATAAGCACAGCGCTTCATCACCCTAACAAGATTGTGTATTAAAAGCTGAAAGAAAAAGCAATACAGTAATAATAATAATAATAATAATAATAATAATAATAATAATAATAATAATAATAATAATAATAATAATAATAATAAAATGAGCTGGAACACTGTGATAACTCAATCCAGCAATCAAGGAACTCCTAGCTGCTCACATCACCACCATGCCTTTGTATAAGTTATACAACCTGGGATTCCACTGAATCCACAAGAAGTCTGGAGGCTTCTGCTGAGGCCTGTCCAAGTTTTATGTATAACCTCCAAGCACCTGGGCTGGCTTCAGTAGAAGCCTCCAGACTTCCTGTGCATTTAGTGGAATCCCAGGTTATGTAACTTACCTAAAGTTGTGGTGGTACTGTGTTGAGTGGCTGGGAGTTCCTTGATCATTGGTTTGAGTAACCTTAGTTACTACAGTTGATTTTCCCATTGATATACATACTGTACATCATATTAGTATGATTTTTTGTAATAATAATAATAATAATAATAATAATACAGGTATAATAAATGTTAGCTTCAGTTCCATGGCCTCGATTCAAGACAAAATTTTGAAGCACTGCCTGACCAAAGGTCAAGCTTGAGAAATTCAACCAGCTGGAGGGCACACAACCAGCCCAGGGAAGGTAACTCTGGTGGATGTTGGTCTTCACTCTCAGTACAAGGGAAAAGACACGTAAATAAACTGGCACCATTCCATGAAGTGAACCTTAACACAGACCTCTATGGGGTCTGGTAGCTGAGTGGACAGCACACAGGACGGTTCGATTCCCAGACCAGGCAGAAACAAATGGGCAAAGTTTCTTTCACCCTGATGCCCCTGTTACCTAGCAGTAAATTAGGTATCTGGGAGTTAGATAGCTGTTACAGAGCTGCTTCCTGGGTGTGTGTGTGTGTGTGTGTGTGTGTGGAAAAAAAAAATATTAGTCGTTAGTAACAGTTCATTGACAGTTGAGAGGCGGGCTGAAAGAGCAAAAGCTCAATCCCCGCAAGCACAACTAGGTGAATACATGGGGGGTTCCCCACACAGAGGTAACAAGGTCTCAAAAATGGCCAGCTTTACTTGCCTGAAAATCCACCTTCCCCAACTCTCTCGTCAGTAGAAGTGCCACCTGATGGTTGATGGGGTAGTTAGTTAGTGCTTCTGTACTTTGGAATGTTTCTTGGCCAGTGTTGGTAAGAATCATTTGCAAAAAAAAAAATAGAGTTTGTGTGTGTGTCATAGCTAGAAGTTTCTCAGTAGTGGACTGAGGGGCAGTTTCCACTCTGCTCCCGGCACACTATCAGGAAACCACACAACTTGCAATGATACTTGTACCAACACACATAAAAAGGATCACCTAGAAGGCTGGCGTATTCAGTCTTGTTGGTTGTGTTACCACCAAGAAAAAGAAGAGCTGCTGACAGGGGGTCCAGGCTCACAAATGTTTATGATAAATAAAGTATGATTAACAACAATGTACAGTACTATCATCTGTGAAAAGTTAATGCTTTCAGAAAACACTATTACTAACCCCATGCTGCAGTAACCCTCTTAGCCATGAAGTGAGTCTCAGCTGAAGCAAACACAGTAATGAGAAGCTGATACATGTTAGCTGCCTCGACCAACATCCAGGCAAATGCAGCCACCACAAGGTAGTGAAGCTGTGGACAAAATACAAAAGTGATTATGCATTCATTATGCTGGATGTTACATGACTTTCATGATCATTAAAATATTTCTCACTTTCATGGAATGGGGAGGAATGAGCCAGGAGGAAATAGGAAGAAATACAAGAAAGGCAAGGTAAAGATTTTCAAGAAGGTATTACCTGTACATCCATTCACACATTTTTCCACACTACATATTGAAGCATTATGTAACATGACAACTTTCAAACTATACACAGGAGGATGTCACAGGAGTGAGATGAAAAATACTGGAGCTAAAAGATATAATTCAGCTTAACCACCATGCTGCGCTGCCTTAACCACCGCATTGCGCAGAGTGTCTTGAGGCGCTAGATCGGAGGTGCACAGAGGGCCTCAGGATGATCATAGGTATTGTGTAGAATTCAAAACTGGCACGTGGTGATTTGGGAACAAAATGGATGCCTGAGGCCTGTTATTGTCTGCTATTTTGAAAAAAATCCCAGCATGTCCAATAACTGTGGGGAGCCTCAGATTCAAGGTAGCAACTATGTCTGACACATCATCTACAAGCTCCTGGTCCACAGTCAGCCGCGGTGTTGCAAAACGACTCTCAGAGGACGAAATACAGTACATATTGTTTGATAATGGACCGATTACTGACGATTTAGACTACAGTTCATAAAAAGATCTAACACAGGTATCTGACATGAGTGATGGGGACAATGAGGTGGACGATGTCGAGAGTGTATACAGTACATGCACCTCGCTCGGCCTCCCATGCCGCCCTGGGTCAACACCACTGGAGTTACCATCACTATCTGTGTCATTAGACATAAATCTACTGAGTGATAATATAGGCGATGAGTCATTTTCTGGGTTCGGCTCAGATACAAGCAGTATTGATGAACCGAATCTAAGCAGCTACGGTGTTACTAGGCGGGGTTTTGCTGCCCCAGCACCTTGCCGAGGCAAGCGCCAGCGTGTCACACGGCCTGAGGACAATGACGACAGTGACGATAGCCGGAGCACCACCCATGCTGGTGGTGCTCCGGCTAGTGGTGCTCTGGCTGGTGGTGCTCCGGCTGGTGGTGCTCCGGCTGGTGGTGCTCCGGCTGGTGGTGCTCCGGCTGGTGGTGCTCCGGCTGGTGGTGCTCTGGCTGGTGGTGCTCTGGCTGGTGGTGCTCTGGCTGGTGGTGCTCTGGTTGGTGTTGGCTGTGGTGTTGGTGCTCCGGCTGGTGGTGCTCTGGCTGGTGGTGCTCCGGCTGGTGGTGCTCCGGCTGGTGGTGCTCTGGCTGGTGGTGCTCCGGCTGGTGGTGCTCTGGCTGGTGGTGCTCCGGCTGGTGGTGCTCCGGCTGGTGTTGGCTGTGGTGTTGGTGCCAAAACCAAAAACACGGGTGTACTTGTGTGGGAGGATTGTGACAGTTTTGTCCCACAAATTCCAGCATTTCATAATACCAATGTTGGTGTGACACCCTTATTCCCCTATACTGGTGATGATATGGCTGAAATTGATTATTTTAAGGCATATTTCAATCAGCCATTCATGGACCATCTTGTTGCAGAGACGAACAGATACGCTCTGGAACTCGTTGACTCTGGAATTTTACCTGCCTCTCAAATGACACGTTGGAAAGACATGACTATTGAGGAAATATATGTGTTTTACTTCTAATATCTGCATACTCTCTTTAGCATTGTGCATGATGATGAGGCATGCAGATAAACATGTATCTGCATGTATGTATAAACATGCAAAAGTATCACAAATCTGTCTCGAGACATATATTTCCCAAACAATGGTGTTGGAACAGTCTGGTCTTTGCTCCAATAATGGTTGATTATGTGTTTGACACAATGGTTCATCAACATACACAGTGCCAAAAACACATACATTTCACCTACAGTTGTATGATTCCATCGCTGTAATTGTGAAAAATCTGATAACTACTCACCAATGAGATCAGCCGCATATTTGTTTGTTTCCTTAACAATATGTTTCATGAGCGGCTCATCAAAATATGCAGTAAAGAAGTGCATTTCACACATTTAATCACCATTATCAGAGAAAAAGACCTGTAATCCGAACATCTGTATCGTCAAAGGCGGGAGTTTCTGAAACAAAATTTTCCCCATCACTCAACACAAATACACCTGTTGGAAGCGTTGTGCGCTTCCAACCGGCAACAGCAGCATAACGGCGAGGAATCTGTCGACCAGGAGCTGAAGCCTATCTACACACAGTAGGGGCAGGAAGAGATGATAAGGAGAAATTACTCGAAGATGAAGGGCTTTGTTCATCATTGTCTCCATGTGGTGCCATGTTGTGCCATGAGGTGGCGCTTGCTGGGTGAGACGCTGCTGACACAATAAAACTTCACTTGGCAACACCACTAGCACTAGCAATAGTAAAACTATTGGTAGTGCTAGTGGTGGAACTCTTCTCTGATTCTAAATCACTTAAACCAGAAAATGATTCATCTTCCTCAGACTTGTTGACCAAAACATCATTATGTTGCACAGTAACATATGAACTATGTGGTTGGGCACGAAGTGGAGTAGAGTATGGGCAAGAGGATAGGCCTGCCTTTTGTGGTATCCACATGTTCACTCTCACTGTCAGTCATCTCTACATCTTCTGGCTGTGTGTAGTCCTCGTCTATGTCGGAGTTGTCAATATAAGGTTCATCACCCTCCTGGAACAATTCCAGATAAATTTCATCCTCAGTCAAAGATTGGGTTATACGCTGTGCTAAGTGTGGTTGGCTGCTGGTATGTGGTGCGCTCGCCATGGTGCCTGCCGGGTAACTGAGGCTTCCACACAATGGCGGCCTACGGTGGATTTTTTTCCGAGATGGTGTCTGTTTACTATCGCCCGTGGCAAGCGCATAGGGCTCCTTGTACCTTGCGGGACATTTAAATCGAGCTCTGGACCCTCATTCGTATATGTATGATGTGTGCCATCCCGTGGCAGTTACTCCCATTGTATATGTATGTATTGCAGAGTTAACCTCTGCACTGCTCTGCATTCAAATATGACACCCCCATGGTGTGCCAAAAATAAATTATTTCCAAAAAATTATTCTCTTATATTGTTAAAATGAGGTTTGTGTTCACAAGAAACTTTGAATATAATTTTTCATAATTATTTGAATGTCTCTCATTTGTTTCTTCTCTGTTTTCTTGCTGTAATATTATTTAAAAGTGTGTAATTTGTTTAATTTGTAAAGTTCAATGTGTGGAACATTGCTATGCTCAAAATTATTGAGCTCATATGTGTGACATGTATATTATATTCTCAGTATTTTTGCTGTTATTACACTATATACACATGTTGTATATAGCTATCTACATTTTTGTGCACCTTAACCCTTAAAGTGCGCATCACGTCATATGACGTGCTGGACGTTGTTCCAGTCAACTGCGCATCATGTCATATGATGTGTTGGAGTACTACGCAAGATTTAAACAGCCCGTGGATACACGGGGTTCACCACACCTTCATCAGGGCTCTTGTAAACAGACGCCATTTTTTTTAAAAATCGTGGGCCAAACTCCCGGGTGTTATTGGCCTCAGTATTGAGTGAGCAACCAAGCCTGACGCACGCAGCATGAGCTAACAGCACTGCTGTTCAGCTTGTGACCACAGCATCGCCTAAAAATGCCAAATTATACTTGTTCATGCTATTATGTAGCGATGATATTATTACAAAAGACCCCTGATTGTGATAAAACTGACCAGGGTTCTGATAATAGCAGGATTGTGGTGATATTTAGCGCTGTGCGCCATGGAAGGAGGTGTAATGCTGTGGGAGGGAGGGTGGTGGCGATGTCTTTTGACTGTGTGTGGCCACCTTTTATTGACTGCACTCACCACACCAGCTTAGTGGTTTGCTATGGTGAACACAAATGTAGATATTTATATATAACGTGCGTATAGAGGGTATAAACAGCAAGAGAAGGTTTGGAGCCGCCATTTTGGTGAGGGCGGTGGCGTCGTCTGCACGACGCCACCGTGCAGACGACGGTGTTGTTTACTGGTTACCATGATAGTCTTTGGGCACCATACCAGTTTATTTGTACAAGTATGATGAATAAAACAGGTAGATATTTATATATAATGTGTGTATATAGCGTAATAACACCACACAGTATTGTTGGAGGAGAAATATTAGAGCGTCTGACCTTGAGGGCAGCCGCCGATCAGCTGACTGTGTGAGTAGCCACATCTCTGTGCCTTTACTCACCATACAAGCTTAGATGTACAGTTATGGTGAACAAAACATGTAGATACTTATATATAACGTCTGTATATAGTGAATTATAGCAAAAACATTATTGTGGGAGGAGAATGAGGGTTAGTCAGATGACTGGAGGGAGGGCGGGAGTGGCTGGCTGGTACACGGCGGTCACTCCTCATTACTTTTTGACTCATAATAGCTACTTAATGGTTCGTTATAGTGAACAAAACATGCAAATACTTATATATAACCTGTGCTTATAGTGTAATAACCGACAAAGTATTTGTTCACTGATTGATGAACATAATTGAATCAACAATATGCACACCATATTTTTGAGCACACCAACGATTCACTCATTTTATTATATAAATATATCAAACTACACACTATTGAATAATATTACAGCAAAAAAAGTATGAAAAATCAATCGGAGACATTTAAATAATTCGGTAATTATCTCTTTGTGGCAACTCCGGCCTGACAGCTTGCGAGCAACAGACCGCCTGGGACGCACCCTGAGTCAGCGCCTATAATTTGCCAGACTTCCCCGCCCTGTAGCGGGCAATATATGCCACTTACGATTTTTTTATTATTTTTCCCGTGATCAGTGAACACAAATTAACAGGTTAGAAAGAAAAAATATATTTTTTTTTTTTCAAAATGACATGCGCCTGTGGGGATGACAGGATATTAAACCCCGAGCATGTTAAGGGTTAATGAACTACAAAGATCATGTGTTGAGAATTTATATACACAGAACAACAATCCAAGGTCAGCCTAGCGGTGGACAGCTGAGTGTGGCAGGGGCTCCTCCAAATACATCCTTACATAATTATTTAAGTGTCTGTGAATAGTTATATGTCTAGTTTTTTGCAGTAATATTATTCAATAATGTGTGTAATATGTGGAATTTATATAGTTAAATGTGTGGAACATCGCTATTCTCAAAAAGATGAGGATCATATATGGTGACACGTATATTATATTCTTAGATCAACCAACCAGTGTTCTTGTTGTTATTATACTACAAACCACCGTGACACGTATATTATATTCTTAGATCAACCAACCAGTGTTCTTGTTGTTATTATGCTACAAACCACCATGCCATTTATACAAATGGCAGCATAATGTTATATATCACCATTAATGTTTATATGCACCATAATATACTAATAAGTAGTTCTGGTGGGTATGGTGATGAAATCAAAATACAGCACGAAGCCACAAGCAGACGACACCAGCAGTCACATGATGCAAGACAATGCCTCCAATATTCTTCTCATCTCGCTATGACTAGCTTCAAAACTGCTGTTATTAGCACATTCCTGTCACAAAATCCCAACTATGAATCCATTTCCATAACAAAATGAACATTGGTGACGGAACATAAGATCGTTTCTTGATACGTAAGTGCAGGAAACAATGGCTGGGTGCTGTGTCTCTCTCTACTTCATGCTATGAATATCATAACTAACATTGTGTTCACTGATATCTGAACATTGTACATAGTCTTTATCACAGTCAGGATCATCTATAACACTATCAATGCAATATAATTTCAGTTACCTATTTTATTCATCATCACCAAGTGGTGCTGTGGTTCTTAGCTGCACAGTGATGCTGTGTGCGGCTCCTGCATGTGCCAGTCTTGGTCCCTATCTCAGTACTGAGGCTCTGAGGTGTCAGCATCCAGCATGGATGCTGAGATTTTTTTCAAGATGGTGCTTGTTTACAAGAGTCCTGAGGCACAGGATGTGAACCCCGTGTACCCGTGGGAGTTTTTGAATCGCTCCCTATACCTAAAAGTGCCACATGGTGCTCTAATGTTTCTCTTTTAACTGTACTGCTGATTTCTTAGCTATCAACAGGACTGTTAAAATACCAGTTTGTTTTCTTTACATTAAATTTTATGTTTCATTTGCAAGTGTTTGAGAGTATGTTAAATTGAGCATTAGTAAACTGTGTATGATTCTGTGTGTGTAAAGTTTTCCCACATGTTTTCGTGAGAGTAGCATCCCTACACCTCATGAGGAGAGAGAAAGAGGCTGAGACTTCACACACTGTGGGTGTGGTGTGTGCTTGTGAGGTATCTGCCTCACTTTGTGAGGTTATTGACCTCCATTAAATCTGTGAGTAAAATACTGTTGTTAATCTGGTGAGTGCAAAATTATTCCATGCTAGTGTATTGTCTCATTTCCTGTGTCTTAATAAATGTAATGCACTCACTGATTGTTTGTAGTCTTACCAATTCAAAAATATGGTACTGCCTCACGTGGTTACGCTTGTGTTTGAGGTGTTTATAAGTAACGCTTGTTTTATACTCCCTGTCTTAAAGTAATGTACCTATACTGTAAGTGAAGAAAGTGAGGACAGGTTTCGTTAGCCTGTACTCAGAGAGTATGGCTTTCAAGCTCGTACCTTTACACGGGGGCTAGTTTCTGGCTCTAGTTCTAAGCAGGCCAAACAGAACTCCCGTGACTGATGTGACCTATTAACACTTTTGCGCTCTCCGCAAAAGGTCACTCAGCCAACCGAATGTGCGCGCTGCGTTTTTATCGCTTAAGCGTAAAAACAAAAATGTGTATACTCTTTTTACTCTTCTGACCTTAGTTCTCATGCTACGTATTTCATTTTGGTACCAACGTGTTCGCAATAAAATTCTATAGAAGAACATAAGTAAAAAAAGTCACGAAACGTATAGGGATACCAGCACCAAATAAATAACTACGAAGATGACTCGCCGTGAGCGCCCATCAGCAACAAAATGTTTTTACTCTTGGGATTGTAATCACCTCCACACTTGTTCTACAGCGTTAATTTTGGTATCAATGGACTCGCAATGAAATTCCCAACACGGTGATACGAATATAAGTGTAGAATAATGATGCGGCCCGCCCGCAAGAGTGTGGGAAGTGGTGAAATTGTTACCCGGTATCGGTGACAGGACGACGCACAGCGCTTTGAAAGTTTATACTTATTTCACTCTCATGACATTAATTTTCTATGTACGTCATTCATTTTTGTGTCAATGTGTTCGCAATAGAATGTTCTATGTGCCCATAGGTAAAAAATATCAACAAAGCGTAAGTTAGAATAGCGCCAAATATAAAACAACGCTGGAACATATCAGTGAGCGTCAAACACACACAAAATGTTTTTACTTTTGTTATGTTTGTCAAGTTTATACTTGTTGCACACAGTTATTTTTGGTCGTATATTGATCGGAATAAAATTCCCTAAACAGACATATGCATATAATACATGATATGGGGGAAGCATTACCAGTATAAACGGCTAAAGTCACCCACCTGCAACCTGTTTGGGACAAAATACCATTTGATCGAAGTTATCCACACCTTTCATGAACTTATTGTACCATGCAGCCTAGTGGTGAGAAAGAGAGCCTCATAGCGCGCAGTTTGAAACAAACCCAAAGTAAATCGGATAAAAATTGAATTTTATACAAATATTTTACAAGAGGACTCAACTTTATGTCCACTATGCGTTTGCGTTAGACGAAACGGGACGCGCCAATGCGTCCGGATAGCGCGAAAGTGCTATCCGGACGCATTGCGTAATTTAATTGAGAAAGTTTGAGAGAGAGAGAAAAGGGGCAGATGGTAAGCAGTTTATGAAAGTGAATATTTGACATGATCATATATGACAACTTACAAAAAGTGCATTGTACTCCTAGTTATATGAAGCAATAGTAGACTACTGTGGATGATTTTCAAAGTGTGGTGGTGTTGATTCTTTCTAATGTCTTCCCCAGGGCCTCGTAGCCTGGTGGATAGCGCGCAGGACTCGTAATTCTGTGGCGCGGGTTCGATTCCCGCACGAGGCAGAAACAAATGGGCAAAGTTTCTTTCACCCTGAATGCCCCTGTTACCTAGCAGTAAATAGGTACCTGGGAGTTAGTCAGCTGTCACGGGCTGCTTCCTGGGGGTGGAGGCCTGGTCTAGGACCGGGCCGCGGGGACACTAAAGCCTCGAAATCATCTCAAGATCTCAAGATAACCCCTATAAAAACAGAAAACAAGGTAATGATGATGTATTTACAAACCATAGTATTAATGTCCTCATTTCCAAATGAGAATACATTTCCAAATGCCAAAGAGATTTATAAAAAAACATTCAGTTCAATACTTACAGCTGCTGCTAGTACAGTACAGGCAACAGAAGGGGGCTCTAACTGGGCAGCAATTATAAACACCGAATTGAGCAGCAGAAGAGCCAAAGACAAATTCATCACAATTTTACCACTTCGGTCACGGTTGAGGGTCCTGTGCAGACGAGAAAGTACAATAAATGTTTTCCAATAAACTGAAAACTTTTCTGATCTCTCTTTTGCTAATACAGTTTTACATACTGCTGGAGTATTTTATCAACAAGTTCCCCCAGCTAATAAATACAATGCTTTGAGTAAAAATGAACTACTTTCTGAATAAAACTTTTCTGTGGGGAGCTCCTCCTGCTCCCTGGAGCTATCAGGCTGATATGTGTATTAGTCTACAGCATCATTCAATTGAAATTCAGCCTACCAGGGACCAGGAGACAGAACCTGGCCCCTTCAGAGAGCCAAGGGAACAATGGCACCAGTCTCCGTGGTGTAGTGGTAAGATACTTGCCTGGCGTTTCGCGAGCGCTATGTCATGGGTTCGTATCCTGGCCGGGGAGGATTTACTGGGCGCAAATCCTTAACTGTAGCCTCTGTTTAATGCAACAGTAAAATGTGTACTTGGATGAAAAAACGACTCTTCGCGGCGGGGGTCATATTCCAGGGACCTGCCTGAAATGCTACGCGTACTAGTGGCTATACAAGAATGTAACAACTCTTGCATATATCTAAAAAAAAAAAAATGGCCTATGGAAACCCCGTCATGTATTTAGAGGCTTCCATGTCTGCTACCGACAGGGGTTGGCACCCAGAAAGGTAAGCATAACAAAACAGACCACACATGGTAAGAAAATTGCAGCTGAAGACAAGAACAGAGATGTAGAACTAACAAGTACTCGAGAGAACTCCAGCCCTGGCTCAAGGAACACCCAAGGGGAACCCTCCAGCCCTGGCTCAAGGAGCACCCAAGGAGGAGAACCCTCCAGCCCTGGCTCAAGGAGCACCCAAGGTGAACCCTCCAGCCCTGGCTCAAGGAACACCCAAGGGGGGGAACCCTCCAGCCCTGGCTCAGGAAGTACCCAAAGTGAACCCTCCAGCCCTGGCTCAGGAAGTACCCAAGGTGAACCCTCCAGCCCTGGCTCAAGGAGCACCCAAGGGGAACCCTCCAGCCCTGGCTCAAGGAGCACCCAAGGGGAACCCCAGCCCTGGCTCAAGGAGCACCCAAGGGGACCCCTCCAGCCCTGGCTCAAGGAGCACCCAAGGGGGGGAACCCTCCAGCCCTGGCTCAAGGAGCACCCAAGGGAAACCCTCCAGCCCTGGCTCAAGGAGCACAGAAGGGGAACCCTCCAGCCCTGGCTCAAGGAGCACTCAAGGGGAACCCCAGCCCTGGCTCAAGGAGCACCCAAGGGGAATCCCAGCCCTGGCTCAAGGAGCACACAAGGGGAACCCTCCAGCCCTGGCTCAAGGAGCACACAAGGGGAACCCTCCAGCCCTGGCTCAAGGAGCACACAAGGGGGGTAACCCTCCAGCCCTGGCTCAAGGAACACAGAAGGGGAACCCCAGCCCTGGCTCAAGGAGCACACAAGGGGGGAACCCTCCAGCCCTGGCTCAAGGAGCACCCAAGGTGAATACTGGCCATGGCCTAAGAAGCACAAATAGGGCAATTCAGAAAGGAACATTTCAAACCTCTCAATGCTTATTTGTGTTGTATGTACTGTGTATAAAAATAATATGTTTGAAATAAATGCATCAGCAACCAGCCATTGTAATGCCAGCAAACTCTCACTATGGAATTGTACAATTTACTTACTTTGGTAACCTTGTTCTTTGGTCATTCAAGCCATTTTGAAAATATAACATTCTGGATACACTCTTAAGACAAGAGTATTATGTACATGGTTTAAATGTTCTCAGTACCAAGTACTATAAGAAGGAACACTTACATGGTGTTATTACCACAGGTGTAACATTATATCAGCCATACTGTAAAACACAAAATATGTATTGTTTCTCAACTTTATAGTTTCTCAATTGTATTAAGGTTGATGGTTCATTAGAAAACAAAACAACAAGAATGTAGAGAAATGCACAGTTCAGAGAAAACTTAATTTGCAGATGTTTTGTCTATCAGAGCTTTATCATTAGATTAGATATACTGTACACTAAACATGTACTGTACTAAGCTATGAGAGATATAAGCTATGTGAGATATACTGTACTTATGTTGACAACTAATGAACAACTAGTTAGTAGTGTTGGCAAATGTAAGATTAGTACCTGAATATTGCATAGGTTGCAACAGTGGCAGTAAGTCCTGCTGTGCTGAGTGCAAGTCCAACATAGGTTATGACCGAGAGGGCTTGTGCATGTACACCGAACGATGATGGCAAGGGATCCAACAGTATTGAAAAGGCAGTCAAGTGCATCGCCTCACAAGTTGTTGTCCCTTCTTCTATCACCGTCCTCATGCCGTCCTTCGACCAGTCATGGGCTGCAAAGGCAAATATTTATTGTACACACACACACACAGCTGGTCTACACTGATGTAAATTGGACAGAAGATTACATGTATGTAATTACCAAATTGTAATTATAAATTTCATCAACTTCAGTGTTAGTTTTAGTAGTAGTCACGTACATCCAACTTTCTCTTTAGGATTGTTCCATCTACTCTCTACAGTGCTACTGAAGGATGAAAACAATAACTGAATAATGTTTATTAAATATTGAAAGTAAAGAATAATTAGCATGTGTAGCCATTATCTGTGTGCTAGGCAATATATCAGTATATAATTTTATATTAATTTGCTTAGAACTTGAAGTGATAAAACTCATGAGAACGGGAGAGGCCTCACATTAGCTAATTATTAATTAAGTGGCTTGGATTAGGGTGCTTGACCTCAGTCCTATGATAGTTGAGCACTTGTCCATACATCAATGGATAAGAGGCTTAAATCAGGACCTGGAGCTCAATCATTCAGGTGAATATTCATTACAGTTTTGGCAACACTTACCAAGTTCATCCCAAAAAACACACACAGGACGAAAAGCCTCATCAGCTTCAGTTGGAATGTGGTATACAATGGGTTCAGAGAGGTTGCTTATCACTGTGTTGGTGACTTTGGCTGTGATAACGGGCATCCCCAGGGCACGCTGGCCTCGAAAAAACTTGTCATTGGAGTACGAGACAAATTCTAATCTAACATGTTTCTTTCCTGACATTTTGAGTACTTGTGGAGGTAGTTTCAGAAATGATTCCTGCAAAATACAAAACATAAAACACTGTAGTATCACATAATATAACTGGGTTTAGTAATTAATAATTCATTGTGTCAAGGAACAGGAAGCCAGGTTATATATACAGTACATGTTAGGCTTATATAAAAGTCCCCCCCCCCCCCGAGGATCGAATTACTGACCCCAGACAGGATGCAACCCCACAAAAAGCTGACTAACTCCTGAGTACCTATTTACAGCTAGGTGGACAGGAGCATGTAGTAGGGCGAGTACGACGCTCTGGCTACTAGGTACAACATACATACATACATACATACATACATACATACATACATATATATATATATATATATATATATATATATATATATATATATATATATACACATACACATATATATGCATGCATGCATCAGAAAAACTCTTCCTCATGAATGGTTTGAACCTCGGAGAGCCAGGCACTCCATACACCTCCATACTCCAGTACCATTCCCACTAGACCACAACTGACTGTTAAAACAATTGGAAGTTTGTTAAGACTTTTAACCCAATTGCCAAAAACACTTCCTTCACGAGGTAGAGTTTTTCTGATGCATATGCTGAGTAATGCATCAGAGTAATGACATAATAACAGACAGACAGTATGGTCTTCGAACAAGAAGATCATGTGTAACCAATCTACTTAGCTTTTATGATAGAGCCTTAGAGATACTACAGGAAAGAGATGACTGGGTTGACTGTGTGTATCTGGACCTACAAAAGGCTTTTGATAGAGTACCCAACAAACAATTGTTGCGAAAACTGGAACATGCTGGAGTGGTGACAGGAAGACTTATGACATGGATGAAAATTTTTTTAACTGACAGAAAGATGAGGGTGGTAATCAGAGGCAATGCATCTGACTGGAGAAGTGTTAATAGCGGAATACCACAGGGTTCAGTTCTCACAAGGAATGTTTGTCATCTACATAACTGATCTACCAGAAGGAATAGAGAATTACATGAACATGTACAGGTTTGCAGATGATGCTAAGATACTGTGGAAGATGGGACATGTACACGATTGTCATGCCCTTCAAATAAATCTAGATAAGTGCTTAGAGCAATATATGGCAAATGGAATTCAGTGTGAACAAATGTCATGTTATAGAATGTAGAATTGGAGAAAATAGACCACACACAACTTACAAATTATGTGGAAAGGAATTAAAAACTAACAAAGAACGAGATCCAGGGGTGGTGTTGGATAGTAGACTATCCAAATGTCACCATATGAACACATTAAGAAGTTTGTACAAGGAGCGTATGCATCACTTTCCAACTTCAGACTCCCTTTTAATTACATGGATGGTGAAATACTAAAGAAACTGTTCATGACTTTTGTGAGACCAAAATTGGAATATGCAGCAGTTATATGATGCCCATATCTCAAGAAACACATTAATAAACTAGAAAAGGTGCAAAGGCATGCTAAAGATTGGCTTCCAGAACTGAAAAACAAGAGTTACGAGGAGAGGCTAGAGGCGTTAAATATGCCAAAACTAGAAGATTGAAGAAAAAGAGATGATATGATTACCACTGACAAAATAATAACAAAAATTGACCAAATTGACAAAGAGGAATTCCTGAAACCACCAACTTCAAGAACAAGAGGACACATTTAAGCTAAGGAAACAAAGATGCAAAAAAATATTAGAAAGTTTGCTGTTGCAAACAAAGTGGTAGATGGTTGGAGCAAGTTAACTTAGAAGGTGGTGGAGGCCAAGACCGTCAGTAGTTTCAAAGCGTTATATGACAAAGAGTGCTGGGAAGACGGGACACCACGAGTGTTGCTCTCATCCTGTAACTACACTTAGGTAATTACATACACACACACACAAACACATTTATGTATATAAATATTTTATCAATACTGTGTGTCTTTCAGTCATACATTATTTAGAGATGGGTTCGATGAATTCTTATTACGTCGTCTTCTACTTCGGGTGGTGCCATCACTGATGCCATCTCTCATTTCAAGTTCAGGACTGAACATTACCCCAGAAGCTGATGACTCCAACATCCTTGCTTCCAACACCAGATTATTGGATCTGAAACAAAAGGTTTGCTCAGAATTATATATATGATTATGGGAATGCATCCAACAGGGAAAATGTGCAAAGTGGGGTGCCAAAGGGGTTCATTTTGGGGCCAACACTTTTTGTCATATACGTCAATGACATAGATGAGAATATTACAAACCACATCAGCTGCAGATGACACTAAGATTTATGGTAAAGTGGGAAGTGAAAGTGATATTGAGACCTTACAAAGATATCTACGTGAACTCCACAAATGGTCAGATGACTGGCAAATACTTTTCAATGTCAATAAATGTGAGACCTTGTATGTGGGGCATAACAATCTCCGTCACAAATACCAAATTGACAGCAATACCTTACAACAGATAGATGAAGAAAAGGGCCTAGGTGTCAGAATCCATCATTCACTAAAAGTTGCACAACAAGTGGGAGCGGCAGTAAAAAAAAGTGACCCAAACCCTGAGAATAATCAAGCATACCTTCAAGGAAAGGAAAAGAAAGTAGTCGCTCAAGTATATAAATCTCTGGTGCACCCCCACATGAATTATTGCATCCAGGCATGGAAACCTCATCTTCAGAAAGGCATAGCTGCTCTGGAGAAGGTGCAATACTGGGCAACAAAAATCTTACCAGAGCTTAGTCACCTCTCGTATAAGGCACGGTTGATAACACAGGGCTAACAACACTGCAGACCAGACATGACAGAGCGGATCTCATAGAAACCTTCAAAATACTAAACAATTTGGAGGATGTCGATCCGGACAGTTTCTTCATTAGGTCAGATGTAACATGAAGGAGGAGCAACAGGTTCCAGATCAACAACCCACAATGTAGGACAGAAAACAGATGCTTTTTCACCCATAGGGTTGTAAACCTGTAAACATACCCGCAGAAGCCATAAGTGTGTTGTTACTGCGGGCTCACCATAGCCCGTGCTACTTGGAACTTTTTGTTCCAGGTAGCGAATCTAAAACAACAACAACAGCCATAAGTGCCAAAACTCTGCTGGGTTTTAAAATACAGCTAGAAAAGATCATTAGGGCAAATGGGGGGACCTTTGACAAGTTGATGGCTTCCTGTCCTTGGCAAGGCCACTAGTATTAGTAGCCCTTAGGTAAATTCAGTTAAATATACTCTTGTTGCTTTTAATTGTGTGTACTCTCATTGTTTATAGTTATGTGTGTACTTTTGTTGTTTATAGTTGTGTGTATACTCTCATTGTTTATAGTTGTGTGTATACTCTCATTGTTTATAGTTGTGTGTATACTCTCATTGTTTATAGTTGTGTGTATACTCTCATTGTTTATAGTTGTGTGTATACTCTCGTTGTTTATAGTTGTGTGTATACTCTCATTGTTTATAGTTGTGTGTATACTCTCATTGTTTATAGTTGTGTGTATACTCTCATTGTTTATAGTTGTGTGTATACTCTCATTGTTTATAGTTGTGTGTATACTCTCATTGTTTATAGTTGTGTGTATACTCTCATTGTTTATAGTTGTGTGTATACTCTCATTGTTTACAGTTGTGCTTGTAGTTTTGTTGTTTATAGTTGTGCTTGTAGTCTTGTTGTTTACAGTTGTGCTTGTACTCTTGTTGTTTACAGTTGTGCTTGTACTCTTGTTGTTTACAGTTGTGCTTGTAGTCTTGTTGTTTACAGTTGTGCTTGTAGTCTTGTTGTTTATAGTTGTGCTTGTAGTCTTGTTGTTTACAGTTGTGCTTGTACTCTTGTTGTTTACAGTTGTGCTTGTAGTCTTGTTGTTTACAGTTGTGCTTGTACTCTTGTTGTTTACAGTTGTGCTTGTAGTCTTGTTGTTTACAGTTGTGCTTGTAGTCTTGTTGTTTACAGTTGTGCTTGTACTCTTGTTGTTTACAGTTGTGCTTGTAGTCTTGTTGTTTACAGTTGTGCTTGTAGTCTTGTTGTTTACAGTTGTGCTTGTAGTCTTGTTGTTTACAGTTGTGCTTGTAGTCTTGTTGTTTATAGTTGTGCTTGTAGTCTTGTTGTTTATAGTTGTGCTTGTAGTCTTATTGTTTATAGTTGTGCTTGTAGTCTTGTTGTTTACAGTTGTGCTTGTACTCTTGTTGTTTATAGTTGTGCTTGTACTCTTGTTGTTTACAGTTGTGCTTGTAGTCTATTTGTTTACAGTTGTGCTTGTAGTCTTGTTGTTTACAGTTGTGCTTGTAGTCTTGTTGTTTACAGTTGTGCTTGTACTCTTGTTGTTTACAGTTGTGCTTGTAGTCTTGTTGTTTACAGTTGTGCTTGTAGTCTATTTGTTTACAGTTGTGCTTGTAGTCTTGTTGTTTACAGTTGTGCTTGTACTCTTGTTGTTTATGGTTATAATAAGTACTCATAATTATTGTGTACAAGGGTTATAATTCACACAGGTGGGACCTTCAGCACCAAAACAACCCAGCATTGAATGTAATGAAGTGCCATTTTCTGGGTAGAGCCCTGGAGGCTCCCTGGAGCTATTGGACTGATATTAACTAATATTAGTACAGGGCTTCAGCCATATGGAGTTGTCAGGCCTACCGAGGACCACTAGCCAGAACATGGTTCCCCCCTCAGAGAGGCACAGAGAGTACCGGCCTTTGAAACTCATGTATGAAAGTATTTTCGTCTGCCATCAACCGGGGTTGAGCACCCAGAAAGGTAGGCACTCCAAAACAGACTCCTCCTGGTAGAAAAATTGCAACCTCAGACCAAACAGAGGCTAGAAACTTCCCCAAGGAAAACAAGCTAACAAGCAACATGTCATTACACCGTGCACTGCTCATTTGCGCTGACTCTCCCCACCCCAAGAAAGTGTCCAGAAAATGCCCTTTCATTACATTGAACACTGGTTTTCTGTGGGGAAGCCCCATTGGCTCCCTGGAGCTAACGACCCAAAGTGCAGGAAAATAGGAACTTACCTGGGAGGCGGCTGCACCCCACAACTCATAACAAAGAGGAGACAATTGGCTGCAAGTGCCAACCCAAGGCAACACAAGACTGCTGAGGGCTCAGCACTAACAAGATAATGGGCAGCCAGGACCCTGTTTGATCTCCAAAACCCCCATGCCCAAATGTCAGCCCAAGACATATTACCAAACACAGCAGCCAAAACTCTGAATGAAAGAACATCATAGGCATGAGGGGCAGACTGCAGGCTGGCTAGACTTGATAACCCAACAGATGACCTGAGAAACACAAGCACCCGAGTGAGAATAAGAGAAACTGGGTCAATTAACAGCGCATCCCCAGACACAGACGCTGAAGCATGCAGGTAATGGAGTAAAGTCACAATTCGACACAAAACATGATGCACCCCCGGCTTAACCAACCAAGCACCAATAACCCACAGCCTCTCCGGAAGCCCGTCATCTCATTCTTCACCAGAAAAGATGGAGACAGCTGCAAACAAACAAAACGTTCACCCAATCAAGGATCAAAAGCCTCTGCGCTGGAGGAGAGCATGAAGCTCCTTGACCTGACCCCCAGAAGCCAAAACTAACAAGAACAAAGCCTTCTGGAAAAAGTCTTAGACCGAAAGAGCCACCACAAACCGAGGAGAAGAGTGAAAGGAGAGCACCCAGTCCAAAGACCGGGATGGATCAGGCAGCGCATGAGCAGGCCAGAGGTGGTAAAAAGCACGAGAAAGCTTACGAAACGGAACCGAAATTATATCCACCCCGAACGCAAGCCGGAGCAGCTCCCCCAGCACCACACAATACGAGGCGACAGTACTGTAACCCCGCAATTATCCGGGATTCAAACATCCGGAAAACGCCCTTATACGGCCAAAATCGTGATTGGATAAAGTTATCACAATATCCGGCCAAAATGGCCACAGGAACCGGATAAAAGCTGGTTTGGCTGGATGAAAATACGGCCATACCGTATTAATCCCGTCTGTGGCTCTAGACGCATGGTGGAGGAGGGGGGTGGGGTGGGTGGGTGGTGTTGGGAGGGTGGGAGGGGTGCGTCAGGAGGGACCACCTGGGTACAGGAATTACCATTAATTTTAGAACAATTAATCATAGCCAAAAACAAATGAAATAACTACTAGTAATTATGTAATAACAAATAAATAAGTTTCCTAAAAGCATTGTGCACAGGCTGAAGTTTCCTTCAAAAATATTGTGAATTTTTTTCCTCCTGGCGGCCTACGTAACGCGCTATCCCAAGTGGACCCGTCCAACACTGGTCAACCCATGTGCGTCCGTCCCTCGTGTTATACACAGTGCTGCGCCATTAGTGAAATATTTTTTTAAATAACTTTTTTATTTTCATAGTAACTTTGAACATTTTGGCCAAGACTATGTCTGGTAGCAGCATCAATCGTTCTGGAGGTGTTAAGAGGAAGAAAGTTGTCCTAACAATTAAAGACAAGTCACAGTTATACGCCTCAACCAGTGCGGCCTCACAGTGTTGCGCCATTAGTGAAATATTTTTTTAAATAACTTTCTTAATTTTCATAGTAATTTTGAACATTTTTGGCCAAGAATATGTCTGGTAGCAGCATCAATCGTTCTGGAAGTGTTAAGAGGAAGAAGATTGTCCTAGCAATTAAAGACAAGTTACGTGTTGTTCAAACAGTGAGGCGTCACAGGCAGCCAAGCGCCTTCAACAAGTGAGGCGCCACAGGCAAGCCAAGCCCCTTCAACAAGTGAGGCATTATAGGCAAGCCAAGCGCTTTCAACAAGTGATGCGCCACAGGCAAGCCAAGCGCTTTCAACAAGTGAGGCGCAAGCAAGCGCCTTTAACAAATGAGGCGTCACAGGCAAGCCAAGCGCCTTCAACAAGTGAGGGCATGCAAGCGCTTCAACAAGTGAGGTGCAAGCAAGCGCTTTCAACAAGTGAGGCCTCACAGGCAACCCAAATGCCCTCAACCAGTGAGGCTTCAGCAGCTGGCAGTCAAAACTAACTTAGCTTAATGAACTGTACAGTAATTTTAAGTGTTAATTTTAGTGTTGTGTTAGTATAGGTTACGTAAATTGTTAAGAATTTTTAACTTCAAGATGTGTGGCATCAATCAAGAAGACGAACACCAACAAGGTAAGTTGAGGTTTCTAGTTGAATATTTAATAATTGTATGTGGCTAGGCAATTCAAATTATGTTGTTTGTAGTATAAAAATAGTTGGAAATGGTCACTTTTGGACTCGTAGGTGAAAAAGTACCATTATCCGAAAAATGTGATAATCCGGCTGGGGGTCCTTCCCATATAGTCCGGATGATCGAGTGGAGACAGTAATTGCCTAAGTGTGATGAGGATGTGAGCTACGCTTGTGGTGTCCCGTCTTCCCAGCACTCTTTGTCATATAACGCTTTGAAACTGCTAACGGTTTTGGCCTCCACCACCTTCTCACCTAATTTGTTCCAACCATCTACCGCTCTGTTTGCAAAAGTGAATTTTCCTATATTTCTTCGACATCTTTGTTTAGTTTGTTTAGTCTTTAAAGATTTTCCACATAATTTATAGGTTGTTTGGGGTCTATGTTCTCCTATTCGACATTCCATAACATATGGCATTTATTTACATTAAATTCCATTTGCAAAGTGGTGATCCATATACTTATTTTGTCCAGGTCATCTTGAAGGGCATGACAATCATCTAAGTTTCTTATCCTTCCTATTATCTTAGCAACATCAGCAAACATGTTCATATAATTCTGTGTTCCATCTGGTAGATTGTTTATGTAGACAATGAACGTTAAGAACTGAACCCTGTGGTACTCCGCTTGTGACATTTCTCCAGTCCAATACACTTCCACTTATTACGGCCCTCATTTTTCTATCAGAAAACTTTTCATCCATGTTAGCAGCTTACCTGTCACCCCTCCAATGTGTTCCAGTTTCCAGAACAATCTCTTATGTGGAACTCTGTCAAAGGCCTTCTTTTAGGTCCAGATAGGTGCAGTCAACCCAACCATCCCTTTCCTGTAAAATCTCTGTGGCTCGATCATAGAAATTGAGTAAATTCGAAGTACACAGGATCTTCCCGATCGAAAACCAAACTGCCTGTCTGATATTATATCGTTTCTCTCCAGGTGTTCTTCCCATTTAGTTTTAATTATTTTTTCCAATAGTTTGACTATTACACTTGTCAATGATACAGGTTTATAATTGAGGGGGGCTTCCCTGCTGCCACTTTTGTAGATTGGAACTATGTTAGCCTTTTTCCACACATCTGCTACGACTCTTGTACACAGGGATGTCTGAAAAATCAGCTGAAGTGGTATATTGAGCTCAGGTGCACATTCTCTCAGAACTCATAGTGAAACTCCATCTGGGCCAACTGTTTTGTTGTTACTTAGCTCCAAGAGCATTTGTTTCACCTTGTCTCTAGGCACCTCTATGTGCTCTATGTTGTTCTCTGGAATTTTTATTGTGTCTGGTTCCCTGAAGATCTCATTTTGTACAAATACACTTTGGAACTTTTCGTTTAATGTTTCACACATTTCCTTTTCATTTTCAGTGTATCTGGCCTCCATTTTCAACCTCTGAATATTATCCTTTACCTGCAGCTTGCTTTTAATGAATTTATAGAAATGGCCTGGATCTGATTTACATTTGTCTGCTATACCGCTCTCAAAGTTCCTCTCTGCCTCTCTCCTTACTGACGTGTAGTTGTTTCTCGTATCTTTGTATCGCTGGTATTTGGCATAAGATCCCTGTCCTGAAAGAGCCAAGAAAGAAAAAGCAACACAACATGATCCAAAACCGAAGACAACCTATGGAGGGAAAGGAAGTGGTGAAAGCACTGCCAAGAGACTTCATACTGCCGCTGAAAAGGCCGCAGGTGGGAAACAATTAGAGAAGCCACTTGGCCACCATACAGATGGTGATACACCCGCGTCAAAGACTCCAGACACGAAGCTCGGAAGAGTAGAGTGAACCAGTAAGGTACCTCACTGGCACAATCAGCTGAAAGAGGCGAACCCGTGGAAAACGCCCTGGGTTTGGACACCGAGCAAGCAGCTCCTGAAACCAAGGCCAGGTAACCCCACCTCGAACAGTCCTGCTGAAAAGCGTCTACTGCGAAGGCCTCGCAGTCGTGGAAGGGCGCCACATAAATGGGGGAGATGCCTCGACCATGCCGACGTGAAGAGGTCCACATCTGAGGTCCCAAACATCTGGCAGAGCCAACTGAAGGAGTCGGCGTCAACCCTCCATTCCGTAGACAGGGGAATGAACCATGACAGACCGTTCACCAGGACGTTGGACACACCCTGGATATGAACCTCATGGAGAACTAAACCCCAAGAACTCAGCAGAAGAGCCACCAGAAGTGACCAGTGCCAAAGAGCCATGAACCACAGCCCCACGTGGTTCAGGCAATGAACCACCAGAACACAGTCCGAATGGGGCCGGATCGTAGAACTCCGAGCGTGTTAAATCCAATGCAGTGCAAGCCCCAGTGCCACAAACTCCCACACCGTACTGTCAGCCAGATGGAAGGATAGCCCACCGCCCCTAGCTGATCTGATGAGCATTGGTCACAAAGCCCCAGCTTAAGATGAGGCATCCGTGAAAACATTGAGGCAGGGCTCCGGAAGGCGTCAAAAATCCTCCGTTCTAGCTTCATATGCCGCCCAGTCTATGGAATTCAAGTTGAAGTCGCCGACTACCAACAGTCGTGATCTATCTTTATCAGCTCTGACTATAATTTCTCTCATTATTGTTATAAGACCCTCTCGTTTATTATCTAGCTCCTCCTTTGTCCATGTGTTGCTTGGCGGTGGACTAGATGCATTTATGAGCGTTAGTTTATCATCCTGATTGCAGATCTCTAGTGCTATTATGTCAACTTCTCGTGGATTGGCAATTATTATTTTGTTTACCTTTAGGTGTTTTTTCACCAGCACAGCAACACCACTGCCTTTTATATTTTTTTTTTGTCCTGTCTCCAAACTGAGTAGCCCTTTGGGAATATGACCTCATTTAAAATATCATCTTCAAGTTTTGTCTCCGTATGTGGCCACCTGTAACTGTCTGTACTCACCATACCAACTTAGTGCTTCGCTATGGTGAACACAAATATAGATACTTATATATAATGTGTATATATAGTATAATAGCAGTAAAAGGAGTATGTTGGGAGAAGCCATTTTGGTGAAGGAGGTGGTATCATCTGCATGACTTGTCATGCTGTGTAGAGGATGGCCACTATGCTCTTTGGGCACCATACCAGCTTAGTTGTACTGTTATGGTGAACAAAACATGTAGATACGTATACAGTGGCACCTCGACTTACGATTGCCCTGACTTACGATAATTTCGAGTTACGATGTAAATTTGATCGAAAAATGCGACTCGACTTACGATAGTGTCGTCGACTAACGATATTTGTTGGTACACGCTCGGGTCGACCGAGCGCATGGTTCCCGGTCACGCGGGCCAACCTGCCTCAGTTTACTAGAGCTGCCCGCTTAGTGACGATCACGCCTATAAAAAATTCCATTTTTGTGGTGATTTTATGCTTTTTGAACATAAAACTGATTATTATATATCATGCCATGGGTCCCAGAAAGTCAGTGGTAAGGTTCAACCTAAGAAAATAGTTATGAGTTGAGGCAGTAGAGGATATCCCTTCCTCATTAAAAAATGTGTGAAGTATGGAAAGAACTGCAAAGTTTTGTTGAAAAAACTCACCCAGATAAAGCTGTAGCAGGCTATTGCATTGACCTTTTAAATGACAATGTGATGTCTTACTACAGACAAGTGTTAAAATGTAGGGAAAAACAAGTGTTTTTAGACAGATTCTTAGTAAGACAAGCAAGCAGTGAGCCACAAGCAGGTCCTAGTGGTATGTAGGCAAAAATGCCAGAGAGTGTATCCCAGAAAAGTCATCACTGCCTGATGTTATAATGGAAGGGGACTCCCCTTCCAAACAGTAACACCTCTCCTCCTCCCCCCTCATCACCATTTCCATACACCATCAACAGTCCTCCATAAAGGTAAGATAAACATATGTACTATATTGTAGAGAACAAAATTGTATTCAGTATAAAATGTATTTGTAAGTTAATAATTTGGAGGGTGGGAAACGGATTAATTCAATTCCCTTTATTTCTTATGGGAAAAATCGCTTCAACTTACGATATTTCAACTTACGATCCTTCTCTGGGAACGGATTATCATCGTAAGTCGAGGCCGCACTGTATATAACCTGTGTATATAGTGTAATAACTGCAAAAGTACTTGTTTATTGTTTTATGAACATAATAACTGAATCACTAATATTCACACCATAATTTTGAGTATAGTGATGATTTACACATTTTATTATATAGATATATCATATTACACACTATTGAATAATATTATTGCAGGAAAACTAAGAAAAAATCAATCAGAGACATTTAAATATTTAGATAATAATATCTTTGTGGCACCTCTCGCCCGACACCTGGGGCGAAGCAGACCTCCTCCTATGCTTGCTCTGTCAACGCCTCTTTTTAGCCAGACTTACCCACTCTATTGCGGCCAAAATATGCCACTTACGATTTTTTTATTATTTTTCTCGTGATCAGCGAACACAAATGAACACTTTAATAGGACTTATTTTTGTGTGTGCCTGTGGGTGTTGAAGGCCATATAGCCCAGAGCAGTATAGGGATTTATGTTTTACACATTTCCTTTTCAATTTCCATGAATCTGTATACATTTTCAATCTCTGTGTGTTAGTGGCTTTACAAGAAGGTAAAAACAGCAATGTTATGTACGCTCACAAACTCAATGTACTGTAACTTCTTGTAAATAAAAATTAAATAAATAAATAAAAAATAAATAAATAAATAAAAATAGTCATTATTATTATAGAGGACAGGGCTGTTTGTGTTATGTCAAAACAAACAGGAGTATTCCAATTTATAATTGGTGCAATATTAAATGTCTAAGAAGAACTACCCTATTATTTATATTTTATATATGCAGGATTTACTACTAACTTTTACATACCTGACATGTACTGGTTTTCCAATTTCTACAGCTACATTTTCTGTAAAAGTATTGATGGTTTTAACAAGTTGGCTTGTAACATTATTTTTCTTATCCCCTGCTGCTATCACAGAGTCGTTGACATCCATCATGTTACTGAGAGCTGACACCATGCTTCTTGCCATCTGGTCATGGAGAGAGGAAAACCTATACAGGTAAATATCTTTACTCATCACAATAAATGATAACGCTACAAATAAAAAATAAAAAACCAGCGTTGAATGTAATGAAACGCCATTTTCTGGGGATCCCCGGAGACTTCCTGGAGCTATTAGGCTGATATACGCTAGATACGTCGGGCATCAGTCATTGGAGTTCTGCCTACCGAGGACCACGAGCCAGAACCGGGCACCCTCAGAGAGGCACAGGGAGCAATGGCCTATGGAAATCCCCATGTGTTTGGGAGCATTCCATGTCTGCTATTGACAGGGATTAGGCACCCAGAAAGGTAGGCATAACAAAACAAATTCCACTTGGTAGGAATTTGCAACCTATGACCAGAGACAGAGCTCCCCCAGAAACATAAGAAAACAAGCAAACATCATTTACCGCCACTGCGCCGCTTGTCTGCACAGCTCTCCCCTCCCTGGAAGGGGGATGAGTAAACCCCAGACCCCTGTACCGGCTACCCACACCTCAGTTCAGAGGCTGTACATCAAAAACAAAACTGCCGACTGAAGGAAGGGCGGGTGCTAGAGAGCCTCCAGGGCTCACCCAGAAAATGGCATTTCATTACATTCAATGCTGGTTTTCTGTGGGGAGCCCCTCCAGCTTCCTGGAGCTACATAACCAAACACAAAGTAAAAGAGGGACTTATCCAGGAGGCTGCTGCAATGCACACATCAACTCGAAGGTGAGACAACCAGCTGCACCCTGTGACCCAAAGCCAGAAATGAACGACCGGGACCAGGTACATGTACCAAATAATGGGCGGCCAGGACCCTATTCGGCCTTCAAAACTCCTGTGCCAGAATGTCAGCCCAGGACATGTTGCCAAACATGGCAGCCAAAGCACCATTCTGACAAATGTCATGGGCACAAGGATAGACTACAAGTTGGCAGACCTAATCACCCTGTGGACGACCTGAGAGACCCGGGCCTTGGAACAGAGAACGAAGGAAATCAAATCAACCCAAAGTGCAAGTAACGACATAAAGCCACAACCGGACACAACCCAAAATGCATCACCAGCCTGACTAACAAAGCATCAATGACCCAAGGGCCTCTCTGGAAGCCCACCGCCTTGTTCTCCACCAGAAAAAAACAGCGTTGAATGTAATGAAACGCCATTTTCTGGGTGAGCCCCGGAGGCTCCATGGAGCTTATCGGGCTAATGTATGTTATATTAGACCGAGACATTAGCTAAGGAGTTCAGACCTACCAGGGACCAGTGCCAGAACCTGGCCCCTTCAGAGAGGTTTCAGGGAGCAATGGCCCTGGAAAACCCCCTTGTGGTTGGGGTTTTCCTTATCTGCCATCGACCGGGGTTAGGCACCCAGAAAGGTAGGCATAACAAAACAAACCCCACATGGTAAAAAACTAAAACTAAAACAAAAAACCGAACAGAGAGGTAGAAACTCCCTACAATCCCAAGGAAACAAGCAAACAAGCAAACATCACACTTTACTGCTGTGCCAATTGTCCGCAAAGCCCTCCCCGCCCAGAGAGGGGGAGGGGGGGAGCCCCGGACCTCACCGCGCCGGCTGCCTAGCATCAGTTTGGAAGCTAAGCTTCAACCAATGCAAAAAAACCGCCAACCGGTGGGAGGGAGGGTTGCCAGGGAGCCTCCGGGGCTCACCCAGAAAATGGCTTTTCATTACATTTAATGCTGGTTTTCTGTGGGGAGCCCCTACGGCTCTCTGGAGCTTCATACCCAGAGAGAAGGAAAAGAAAGGGCTGACCCGGGAGGCGGCCGCCACAAACTCCGCAACGCGAAGCCAAGACAACAGGCTGCAATCTGCGACCCAAGGCAACAAGAATGCACAGGAGCAGACGCGCATAAAGAATGGGCGGCCAAGAACCTGTGCGACTCCCAAATCCCTGCACCCGAAATGAGCCCTAGACGTCACCAACACAGCAGCAAAAGCTGCAAATGTCCGAACAGCACGGGCGCAAGGACAGACCGCAAGCTGGAAGACTTAAAAACTCTGCGGACGACCTGGGAGACCCGAGCCTTGAAACAGGGAACGAGGGGAACCGGATCAACACAAAGCGCATCCCCAGACACGGTACACGGGTAACGGCAAAAAAGCGCAACCGGACAACACAGGATGCACCCCCAGCCGAACCAACCAAGCATCAATAACCCAAGGACCCCCCCTCCGGAAAGTAGCCATCTCGACCTTCGCCAGAAAGACGGAGAAAGGCTGCAAGCATGCAAACCTACCACCAGTACCAAAAGAGCAGAAACCTCTGCGACGGAGGAAAGCTGGAAGCTCCCCGACCCGACCCACAGAGGCCAATGCCAACAAAATATGGCCTCTGAAAAGCAATCTAGAACCGAGGGGGCTACCACAAACTGGGGAGAGGAAGGATAAGAGTGCACCCTGATCAAGGACCAGGACGGCTCAGGTGGTGCATGAGCAGGCCGGAGGTGAAACCCAACACGAGAAGCGTACAGAACGAGGCGGATGTGATGTCCACCCCGAACTCAAGTGACAGTATGTTGCGACATACAAGGCAACAGTAAGAAGTATCAATTAACAGTCCTGAAAACCTAAGAAAGGACAAGACAACCCGATGCGAAAGAGAAGACAACCCACGAAGAGCAAGAAAATGGCAAATAGAAACACCAGGAACATCATACTGTCACCGAGATGAAGTTCGCAGGTGGGACACCATCAACGAAGCCACCTGATCACCATAGAAATGGTGATACACCCACATTAAAAGAGCAGACGCGAAGAGCCGAGGAGAAGGCTGAACCAGTCACGTACAGGACCGGTCCGACCTGCTGAAAGAGGCAGAGCTGCGGGAAACGCCCCGGGTTCGGACACCAATCAAGCAGCGTCTGAAAACAAAGCTGGGCTGGCCACCAAGAGACCACGAGGACTACTCTCCTTGGGAAGGACTCCATCCGAGCCAGAACCCAAAGCAACAGTCAGGACCGAGAAAAGAGGAACAGGTAACACCACCTCGACCAGTCCTCCCGAAAGGCATTCACCATGAACGCCTCGCAGGCGGGTAAAGGCGCCACATAGAATGGGAGACGCTGAGACCATGCTGACGCGAAGATGTCTATGTCCAGGAGTCCGTACGTCTGGCAGAGCCAACGAAATGAGTTGACAAAAACCGGCCAATCCGTGAACAGAGGTATGAACCGAGACAGGCCGTCCCCCAGGATGCAGGACACCCTGGACATGAAACGCACAGCTAGCCAAATCTTGAGAATCCAGCAGACAAGCCACTTGAAGGGACCAACCCCAAAGGTCAAGGACCTAAGAGAATCCCCGTGGTTCCGGCAATGAACCACTGAAAAGCAGTCCAAATGGAGCTGGATGGGAGAGCTCTGAATGACCCTAACCCTCCAAAACACAAACCAGACAGCCATGAACTCCCGAACCGTGCTGTGAGCCCGATGGACGGACGAACCCCACCATCCCCGGCCAGCCTGGTGAGCACTGGCTGGCAGATGAGAACTCAGCAATTCTCAATGGTGAGAACCCAACGATTGCGAAAAAGGCAAAAGGGGAGTCCCCGAAGGAACCGAACAGACGCCGAAGCCATAGTGGGTACTATAGTGCCATGGTACCATAGTGCTAAGGGTACCATAGTGCCAGGGGTACTATAGTGCCAGGGTCTTGTGTGCGCCACCAAGGCTGGCGCACGTAGCATGAGCTCACAGCACTGCTGTTCAGCTTGTGACCACAGCATCGCCTAAAAATGCCATAATATATATGTACATGCTATTATTTAGCGATGATAGTATTACAGAAGACCCCTGACTATGATAAAAATGGCCAGGATTCTGATAATAGCAGGATTGTTGTGATAATTAGCACTGTAGTGGGAGGAGTAATCTTGGTGGGGAGGGACATAGCGTTGTCTGCTGACTCTGTGCGACCACCTTTTACTGTCTGGACTCACTATACTAGCTTAGTTGTTCACTATAGTGAACAAAGATGCAGATACTTATATATAATGAATAAAAGCAAAAAAATTATGGTGAGAGAAGGGTGGCGAGTCAGGTAAGGTGAAGAAGGGAGGGAGGGATTGACAGCCAGTGGCGGGCTGCCACTGCCACTGCTACTCAGCATACAAACTTAGTGGTTCGTTATGGAGAACACAAATGTAGATACTTATATATAACATGTATATATAGTGTAATAACAGCAAAAGGAGTGTGGGGAGAAGCCATTTTGGTGATGAGTGTGGCAACATCTGCATGATATATCATGCTGGGTAGGGGTGGCCATTATGCTCTTTGGGCACTATACCAGCTTAGATGAACAGTTATGGTGAATAGAACATGTAGATATTTATATATAACGTCTGTTTATAGTGAATAAAAGCAAGAACAGTATGGTGGGAGGAGGATATGGGTGAGTGAGGAGTCATTGAGGGAGTGGCAGCGAGAGGCTGACTGGCAGATGTGGTGGCCACACCTTGCTGCTTCTTGACTTGCAATATCAACTTAGTGGTTCGTTATGGTGAACAAAACGTGCAGATACGTATATATAACCTGTGTATATAGTGTAATAATTGACAAAGTATTTGTTTATTGTTTTATGAACACAATAATTGAATCAATAATATTGTAGCGAGTAGAGTATCCCAATAATATACTCGCTCCAAATGCATTGTTAATATTCCTGTCAACCTTTGGAGATGAATGAGGTGAGGCGTTGCCCGGGCAACACGGTGAGGTGTTGCCCGAGCATATAAGCAGCAGAATAGCAAACCTTAACTAGTCTACTTTCAAGTGTGGTCTAGAGCAGACACTTGCGAGATACTGTACCAACGCTCAGTGCGCTCAACTCACACCAAAGTATCACCTGTGTACTTCTGTATATTCGACCAAATATATATATAGTATCTTAGTGTCTGTGTTTATTTGTCACCATACTTTACGTAACAATAGAAACGTTACATTGGTGACCCCAGAGAGTTTCGACGATACCCAGCC